CTTTCCCTTCCTGAAGGGCTATAAAACAGGGCTAGGCCAAGCCCTTACACTCCAGACTTAACAAATAGTTTCCATTCACTTTAATGTCTACCCAGGCTCCCATTGCTGGCCGGCCGTACATTATAGCCCAGTTCCTACGCACCGCATTTAGTGCAGCGAATGCGGCCGCCCCTATAAAAAACCTTCCAACTCCTTCAATAAACGTTAATGCCCCGTTTCCTGCTCATTATGGAAAATCAACAGCGCCGGGAGCAAGTGGGAGACTTTCAAAACTGTTCCCTTTACTACCCGCACCCTTCCAGCCCCCGAGTCAGACATTAATGAAGGAAACCTGCAATTTTCTATTGTTTCTGCACGAAGCAGGAAGGCTACTCAATGCAACCGAGCTGTTCCTTTGAGTGGTAAAGGGCTGTGGCTGATCCAAGAAGCCTGAATGAGAAAGGGGTGATGGGGCAGCCCCAAAAAGAAAGGGCTAAAAAAGGGGCTTCCCTGCCATATGAAGCAGGGAGTGTAACTTGTGATTCTGCCACAGACGCCCTCCTACGAACACGGGCAAATCTCTTAAGAGCAGGTTTTGTGGTATTGGCGCCGAAAACTGCAGTTCTCTCTTGCCAGGAGCTCAGCTCCGTTCTGCTCTGCCTGGATTCTTTGGCTGCATTCATCCTCGGAGAAGCTTATCACCTTCCACTTGCTCACCAAGCCATGTGGAAATAGGGCCAGATTTGCAATCGCGCTCGGTTCCTCTCCGTCAGGAGCAGTGCTCCAGAAAACTCCAACCCCTGGAGCCGGGTCTCTGCTGGGCAAAACTTCCTCCCGAGCCTGGCAGCAGAACCCAGGAATCCCTGTCCCCCCTGAGAGCAGCAGGTAAGATTTCTGGTCCTCCCAGAAGTGGAAGCAGAACCCAGGGGTTCAGACATGCGCTTTCTAGCAGTAACCGCTACCCCACGTTTGCTCTCAAAATTAAACCCAGGAGTCCTGGATTAACCACTAGACCACACTGGCTCCCAAACCTGGAAATGAAACCCAGGAGTCTTGCTTCCTAAGACACCCACACTAAGCATCAAATTAACTTTTCAGTTCCTAAGCCTCTACCAATGCACCTCCGGGGTTTTCTGTTCTTGTCCTATGGGTCTCAGGTGTGGCTTTTCCTCCAACCTCTGCAGGAAGGATTGCCGCCAAGATAACTGACCTACTGTGTCGACAGAATCCTCCGGTAAGAAGCACTAACTAGGGCATCTGTCGTGGCAGGTTAATTTTAAGACCCAACAACCTTGCGGGTGTTCCCTGAAGGGCAGGACAAAGCTGCTGCCGCAGAAACCCACCACATCCCCTCTGACCCCGCTCCAGAACCCTACTCCCAGGTCACCACCGATGGATTAAAGCTGGATGCTTGATTATAAGGAGACAAGGGGGCCCAGTGGAGGGCAATGAAAATGGTTCAGGCACTGGGGCACATGACTTATAAGGAGAGGTTGAGGGAACTAGGCTTATTCAGTCTGCAGAAGAGAAGACGGAGGCGGGATTTAATAGCAGCCTTCAGCTCCCTGCAGGGGGTTGCAAAGAGGATGGAGCTGGACTGTTCTCAGTGGTGGCAGATGACAGGACAAGGAGCAACAGGCTCTATTTGCAGCAGGGGAAGTTGAGGTTGGAGATTAGGAAAAAACTCTCTCACTAGGAGGGTGGTGAAGCGCTGGAACAGGTTACCCACAGCGGTGGTGGAGTCTCCATCCTTGGAGGTTTTGAAGACCCGGCTAGACAAAGCCTTGGCTGGAATGACGTAGCTGGGGATGATCCTGCTTTGAGCAGTGGGTTGAACTAGATGTGACCTCCTGAGGTCCCTTCCCACCCTCGTTTTCTGTGAAACTCAGGGACACCAGGGAACCCAGGGACAACCACAGGGGAGAGCAAATGGTGACAAAAACACATGCCCTGAACTTTGGATCTGTCAGGAAACCAATGGACTTCAACTTCCCACTGGGAACATGATCCTGAGAACTGCTGGATCATACTGGGCCCAATCCGCCTCCAGGAACAGATAAATCATAGAAAATGAGGGCTGGAAGGGACGTCAGGAGGTTGCATCTAGTCCAACCCCCTGCTGAAGAATGAAGAAGTCTGGTTGCTTTTCTTGGAAGATACTTACATGTGCGTGTGGAAGTACACATGTGCTCATGTACATGCATGAGCACACAGAGGTGCATACAAAAAAATAACTAGCTTTTTTGGGTTTATGTTTTTTAAAGGAAGTTTTCCTTGACAAAAGAGAGCCACTGAACCCAGGCAGACTCCAGTTTCAGTTCAAATTTTGGTTTCCTTTTTTTGTTTTGTTTTGTTTTAAGTTGAAAAACTAGAATATTTGAAATGAAACAAATTTTCAGCCACATTTTCCTTGTTGTGGTGGGAAGAGAACAGTTCTGTCGCACCTCTGGGTTACGGGGGAACATCTTGCTGAACAATCAGATAAGCACCCTCTGCTGCCCCTGTTCTCCCATTAAAACCACCACTCGGCCTGCCAAGCTTCAAGCCTGGCATGCTTAGCTTCTGAGAGCAATTGTTACTTGCTGATCTCAAAGACCTTTGCAAAAGTGGATGCATATCACTGAGCTCCAGAAGTCAAGATGTCCCTTGAACACCTGGGAGAGGAGTTTCAGAGAGCAGGTGGTTTCTGTTGTCTGAAAACCCAGCCTCATTTGAGGTATTTCAGGCTCTGCACCCCAAAAATAAATATTACTAATTGCTTTGGAACCTGGGGAAACTGAAGCACGCAAAAGAAACGAGTTTGATTTTTGACCTTCAGCAGAGGGTGGGCTCAAACTGATACACGGCAGCAAAAGAAAGGGGCTGACCTGTCGATTCCGCTCGTCCGTGATCCGCTGGATCTGGATCTTTTTCCTCCCCATCTTCTCCGGAAATCTTCACCGTATGGGGATGACTTCTTGGCTCTTGGGGAAGGAGCAAAGGATCCTGTCTCAAGCCGGTGTCATTCAAGAGTGTTTTTGAAGTTAATAAAAAAAAAAAAACCCCAAAAAATGAGCAAAGAAAGACAAATATCCGTGTTGCGCCTTTCTCAGTTCATGGTACTCTGCTCTGTGGCTGATTCCAGATGGGCCGGGCTTTCCGCAGTCACTCAGGAACCTATGGAAGAGAGGAAGCAAGGAGTGAAAAGATTTTTCCAGAGATCCCTTCCTTATTATTACTTCTCCAGAGGTCCCCCATGGGCATGAGGGTTATTGCAGTGCTAGGTACTGCACACACGGGTCACAGACAATCTCTGTGGGCAACCTGTCACCTTAACAAGACTGAATATATTCCCTAATGCAATGATCTGCGAAAGAGGATTCTCTGCAAAAAGCCTGTTGTCGGGACACATAGAAACCCACTGATGCTACACAAATATTATCCTATTTCTGGTAACAGACAGTGGCTTCTTTCTCTACCATGCTCATCACTGCTATAACCAACACTTCGTGGATACACACAAAAGCCATACAGTTTTAACTATCCTGGTAGAGTGAAAGTGGCACTCGACATATACTGTGAAAGCACCTACGTTGATACAAAAGGGTTTATCTTGGGATGTATTCCCCTATGGAAAGGGAATAAATTATCCTGATAAAAGGTCTTCCCATACCATTTTAACTCCATCCACACTAGGGGTTGCATCGGTGTAATCATATTACACCAGGACTAAAACAATTCTAGACCAGGCCTGAGGGTCATACTTCCCTTGATATGTCTCCCTCTTCGTGCCATGACTAACATCATCTAGTCCAGCCCAGCCCTTCACAAATGAAGACCCAGCATAGATGAATCTGAGCGAGGGTCTACATTACACTAGTGGCTGTCTATGCGCAGAATAAGTGACCATTCCTGCCATGAAGAGCATAGTCTTAAGAGCCAAAGCAGTCTTAAGAGGGCAGAGGGGGAATTATCATACATACTCACATACCACCTGCCTCCAAATAAGACGACCTGGCAGCCATTATAGCATCCCTGTGCTTCAATTCTGGCACAGAAATTAGCTTCCCCATTCAAGATACAAATCCCAATTTTGGAGGCATGTGTGATAGATGAGTAAGTATGGTAAACTGGCCTATTACCATAAATGTAAATACATTTCTCCTGTACAGCAAGGTCCCTTTGCATCACTCTAGCAGCACAACGGGGCTTAGAAGTGGACAGATCTTGCTCTGATATTGTTTTTATGTCATCCCTATGTCACAGAGAGATTTGAGGCCAGATTTCCATCCAAACAAGCAGCAATTTCCAGTAAGCCATGTCTGTAAGTGCAGAATGGAGCTGCCTTGCAAATGCACACCAGATCCCATCCTGAACGGCTCAACCCCTGCACGCTGCTCATACAACAAGGCAGGATGGAGCTGGGAAGTGAACCCAGGTTGCTAAAGTGCAAAGGGTCATGCCCTAACCACAAGTTCCACTGGACACTGGGAACAGCCAGGACTTTAACGGGGAACAAGCTGGAGATACAAGTCAGATGGCAATAATCAACCAGTGACTCATTATTTCTCTATGACACTCTTGGAAAAGCAGCACTATATTTTTTCTTTTTTTCTTTTTTTTTAAGTCATAAGCAGTCAAGTGGCTGGTGATTAGACAGCGTAATTTCAATCCTTCCCTGGTTTCTGCATTCATCTTCAATTTTTGCATTTTAAAACGGCTTTGTTTGATTAAAAAAAAAACCCTAGAAATTAAGACACAAAAACGTGCTTATGAGAGAAGCCTCCAAAAGAAACGCCTCAAAAGCAGCCAAGACAGCCCCGGAGCTGAAGAACGACAATTGGATTTGGATGGGTTTGATCCATCTGGCTGTGTGCATGCATTTATTTAAATCCTTCTACCAAAGACGCTGCGCTTGGATGAGCGGGCGCTGGCACTCGGGGAAAGAAACGCTGACGATTCTCCAGGCAGAACAAAGCACCCAGAGCCCTCAAAACTCAGCTCAGCCTTGGCTGCACCCAGCTGTAGGGCACTTGTATTAAACTGGGTAGAGGAGAATTGCAGATCAGCTTTGTTAGAAAGCAAAGCAGGGCACATTTGTGAGGACAGCTTTAGGTTTAAGCAACAAGGGTTCAATTCCCAGGTCCCAGCACATGCCCTGTGCTCCCTCCCCACCTCACCCCAAGTGACCTCACTTTGCTTGTCGTGGTTCTCTGGGCTCGGATGGATCTCAGTCTATTTATAATAGGGATTATATGATGTGATGGTAGAGGACTGGAATTGGACACAAGAGACTCCATTCAGTCTAGTATCTCTATAGCACAACCACACGCTGGAGTCCGACACAGTCAGCAGATGAAGTAGCATGCCCAAGGTGACAGCAATAGTCTGTGGCAGAGCAGGGTATCAAGCCCAGACCGGAGGCAACTGCCCTACCCATTTCTATTTTCTCCTCCCAAAACAGCTGCGGAAAGAAGCCTAAAAACTGGCAGCCATCTCTTCCAAGCCCTCTCGAGAAGGCTGAAGTGACAGGGCACAGGGGCACCGAGGTGGTGTCTGGTGCTCCAGCCAGCCCCAGCGATAGCGGGTCTCTGAGGGGAACAGCTCAGAGCAAAATCAAATTCTTGGCAGCTTTCTTTTTAGCCCAAGTGCTAAGCCCTCCCCTGGGTCCCAGAGTGGAGCTGTCCTCCGAGCCCCACACAGGTTCTCTTAGCACAAGGGGATCACAAGAATGGCAAATGCCGAGCCCCAAATGTCAACCTTTTAGTTTAAAAAGAAATTTTTGCTTTTGTTGCGGTTGCAAAATTTTGATGGGGCGGAGGGGGAAAAAAAAAAAATCACAGAGATGATTTTCTGCAAGTATTTTTTTCTTCTGGATCTTCCCCTCCCTCCAAGAAGCAATAATCGCAACTATACGGTCCTTCTCTGAGCAGGGGGTGGACTGGATGACTTCCTGAGGTCCCCTCCAACCCTCATTTTCTCTGATTCTACAATGTTACACAGGATACCAACAGGGCCCTCGGTCAGGATCGGGGCCCTGCAGTGTGTGACGGTGGAGAAGAGAAAAAGAGATGGTGCCTGTTCAGGTTCATAGCTATGTTTCCTCCTGAGCCCTTCCAACCAAGCACTTTACCAATACAAACGAGGCCTGACAGTGGAAAAAGGGGGAAAGGAAAGGTTCTTTCTCGTTACAGGCAACGCCTAATTAATCCGTAGGACTCAATGTAGCAGAAGCAGATCTACGAAAAGAATCTAAGATGCCCTAATGCTTGATTCGATCTGACACGTCCAGATCCAGGAGAGGACTCAGGAGACCCCAGTCCCTTAGACCTCATCACCACTAATGGATTAAATAAATAGCCCGGGTTCAGAGTTGGTGTCTTTGTCCTATTGACTCAAGCCTCAAAGCAAACAGAGGGAAG